ATAACTGTATACCATATAAAAGAGAACCGGAGGTCATAAAGAAAAATTAAAGCAAATGAATTAAAAATGAAACCAAAAGTTGGTTCTTAGAAAAGATTAACAAACTGACGAAGTTTTAGCTACCAAACTAAATATTTACATGAAATATAAAAATCCCTAGAAACACAGAAACTACCAAGGCTGATTCAAGAAGAAATAGAAAACTGAACTAGACATGTAACAAGTAATGAGACTGAATTAGTAATCAAAAACCTCAACAAAGAGAAGCCAAACTTTTAAAGAAGAATTAACAGCAATCTTTCTCAAACTCTTCCAAAAGTTGAATAGGAATAAACTTATTTTTTGTGACCAGCATTATCTTGACACTAAGGCCAGATAAATACATCACAAGAAAATTATGGACTGATACCCCAATGAATATTGATGCAAAAATCCTCAATAAAACATTAGCAAACTTAATTCAGTAGCACAATAGGAGTATATACACCACGACCAGGTGGGATTTATCCTAGGAATTAATGCAATGGTGGTTTAACATAAAAATCCATGTAATACATCATTAACAAGATGAAGGATAAAGAAACCTACAATCCTCTCAATTAATGCAGAAAAAGTATTTGACAAAATCCAACTCTCTTTCATGATAAAGGCACTCAACAAACTATGAACAGAATAGAACTCCCTCAATACGATAAAGACCATATATGAAAACCCACAGCTAACAGTATATACTCATATACTTAATGGTGAAAGTCTGAAAGCTTTTCCTCCAAAGTCAAGAACAAGAAAAGATACCTGTTTTTTCCATTTCTGTTCAATATAATATTAAAAACTATAGCCAGAGATATTAGGCAAGGAAAAAAAAAGGCATCCAAACTGGAAAGGAAGAAGTAAAATGATCCTTGTTCAGAGATGACATAATCTTATAAGTAGATAACCCTAAAGAACACACACATACAAAACTAATCCATGAATTCAGCAAAGATGCAGGGTACAAAGTCGGCTGCATTTCTATACACTAACAGTGAACAATCTGAAAAGAAATCAAGGAAACAATTACATTTACAGTAACATAAAAGTAATAAAATGTTTAGGAATAACTTCAAGGAGTTGAAAGACTTACACACTGAAAGCTACAAAACACTGCCAAAGGAAATTAAGACATAAATAGGGGTGCCTGGGTGGCTCAGTTGGTTAAGCATCTGACTTCAGCTCAGGTCATGATCTCACAGGTTGGGAGTTCGAGCCCTGCATCAGGATCTCTGCTGTCAATACAGAGCCCCCTTCAGATCTTCTGTCCTCTTCTCACTCTGCCCTTTCCCCACTCATGCACTCTCTCTCTCTCTAAAGTAAATAAACATTTTTTTTTAAAAACACATAAATAAATGGAAAGACATCACATGTTCATGGATTGGAAGACTTACACTGTTACCATCAAATAGTACCCAAAGTGATCTACAGATTCAATGCAATCACTACTAAATTCCCAATGGCATTTTTTTTTTTAAGAAATACAAAAACCCATCCTAAAATTCATATGGATTCTCAAGGGACCCACAATAACCAAAACAATATTGAGAAAGAAAAACAAAGTTGGAGGGTCATACTTCCCTGATTTTGAAACTTAACTACAAAGCTACAGAAATGAAAACAATGTGATACTGGAAAAAGGATAGACATATACACTAATAAAATAGAACAGAGACCCTAGAAATAAACCTTTGCAAATACAGTCCATTCATATTCAACAAGAGTACTAAGACCATCCAATGGGGAAAGGATAGTCTTTTCAACAAATGGTATTGGGGAAACTGGTTACCCACATGCAAAGGCATGAAACTGCACCCTTATCTAACACCACAGACAAAAATTCACCAAAGTGGATAAAAGGCCTAAACATAACAGCTAAAATTATTAAACTCTTAGAAGGAAAGAGGGGAAAGGCTTCACAACATTGGATCTGGCAATAATTTCTTGGGTATGACACCAAAGACATGAGCAACAAAAACAGGTAATTGGTCTTCATGAAAATTAAAAACTTGTGCATCCAGAGACACTGTCCAAAGAGTAAAAAGACAGCTCCGAGAATGAGAAAAAGTATTTGCATATCACATATCTGATGAGGGATTAAAATCCAGAATATACAGAGAACTCCTTAAAACTTAATAACAAAGACAAATAATTAAGAAATGGGCAAAGGACTTGAACTGCTATTTCTCTAAGGAAGATGTACAAATGGCCAATAAGCACATGAAAAAAGGCTCAAATCCCTGATCATTAGGGAAATGCTAGTGAGAACCACAGTGAGATACCACTGTGGTATCAGGATGGCTATTTAAAAAAAAAACCTGAAAGTACAAAGTATTGGCAAGGATGAGGAGAAACTAGAACCCTGTTGTACTGCTGGCAGGAATGTAAAGTGGCACAGCTACTAGAAACAGTCTGCAATTCCTCAAAAATTTACAAATAGTATTATTATATGATCCAGTGATTTTACTTCTGGGTATTCTTTAAAAAGAATTGAAAGCAGGGACTCAGAGATACTTGCACACCTATGTTCACGGCAGCATCGCTCACAGTAGCCAATAGGTATAAGCAACCCAAGTGTCCATCAACAGATAAACAGACAAAACGTGGTTATCAACGTACACTGGCATAGTTCTCAGCCTTAAAAAGGAAGGAAATTCTGACACCACTTACAGGACGGATGAACCTTGAAGACGTTATGCTGCGTGAAATAAGCCAGACCAAAAAAACAAGTAGTGTAGGATCCCACTTTATAGAGAGACCAACAGGAGTCAAATCCATAGAGACAGAAAGTAGAGTGTTAGTTTCCAGGGACTGAGGAAGGCGGAGGGGAATGGGAGTTCTTTTTCAATAAGGACAGAGTTTCATTTTTGCAAGATGAAAAAATTTTGGAGATGCACGGTGGTGATGGTTGAACAACAATATTAATGCTTAATGCACTTCAAGTGACACTTAAAGATGGTTGAGATGGCAAATTTTATGTCGTGTATTTTACCATTTAAAAAATTGGGGAAAATGAAGGACTTTTTAAAAAAACTTTGAAGTATAGCTGACATAAAATATTAAATTAGTTTAACATATACAACATAATGAGTCAACATATATATACATCACAAAATGGTCACCACAGTATTACTGATCATATTCCCCATCTACTTTTCTTTCCCCAAAAGAGTAAAGTTCTGCTACAGCATGACTGGACCTTGTAAACACTGTACTAAGTGAAATAAGCCAGACAGCAAAGGGCAAATACTGTATGATTCCACTTAAATGAGGTGCTTAGTGTCGTCAAATTCATAGAAAGTAGAAAAAAAGTTAACATAGGCTGCAAAACTAGCAGACCAGAGGTGGAGACTGGAGAGTTATTTCTTAATGAGTTCTCTATTTCGGACGATGAAGTTATACAAACGGATAGTGGTAGTGTTCACACGCCGCTGTGTATGTACTGAATACTACCGAATTGAACACTTAAAAATGACTAAAATGGTAAATTTTATGTTATATAGATTTACCACAGTAAAAAAAAAAAAAATGTTTTAAAAAATCCTGTTAAGAATCTAAGCCATTAGAACAAGGGGCTTAGCGAGCTGACAGATGGGGCACAGCCCTGCACAGGTACTCCATGCGCTAGAGTCCAGGTAGCCAAGCAGACTCTCGCCCATTGGGGCTCAGGGAAAAGACCCTCCAGGGCTGTCAACTCTGCCAAAGGATAACAGAGAGTGGGTTTGAGGAGTCAGGACTGCGGCTGTCAGAAGGGAGCCACTGTCCCTCGCCACTCAGAGGATACAGGGAGGCCAGGGCACAGTGTGTGTGGCAGGAATGCGGAAGCTGCCCCAAGCACTGGGGCAGCTGCTGGCAAGACTGACTGACAACTGGGCCAAAGAGCCAGGCCCAGCAAATTTTACAGGACCAAAAACACCAGAAGTTTGTTCTTTTATCACAGTGCACTTGGGCTAAAAAGTGAGAAAATTAATAACTATATTACTTCAAACCACAGTGGAAATTACAAAATAGTTCAGACTGTAATGCTGCACAGCAAAACCTTTAGGACGCAGCTAGAACCACGGGAGAAATTTTTATAGATTGAATGTCTATATTATTAAACAGGAAAGACCAGTAATCAATTACCTGCACATCTCAAGAAACTTTCTAGAACTTAAACAGTAGCCCAAACATAGAAATAAGGAAGGAGATAATAAGAAGAGAAACTGGTGACACATAAAGAATACCATCAAAGCCAAAACGACTTCTTTGAGAAGGCTAATAAAATTTATGAACTCCTAAGGAAGCTGCACAAGGAGGCTGGGGGAACTCACCAACATCAGAAGTGAAAAATAAGACATCACTGCAAATTGTGAAGACAGGATATTATGAGCAGCTCCATGCCAACTAATTTGAAAACTTAAGGTAAATTTAGGTATCTACCAAATGTTAGAAAAGCAGGGCTTAACAGAAAGAGAAAACAAAAAATCCAATCGCACTAAAAGTATCAAAGAAATTGAATCCGTAAGGAAAACTTTACCCTCAGGGGATGGAGAGATGTGTGAGAAACACAGCAAAATGTCAGCCACAGCATGCAGCCAGGGGCAAACTAAAGTTCACTGTGCAATTTCCGACACTTCCGTATGTTTGAAATTTTTCAAAATAAAAGGTCACAGGGGAAACTTCCCTGATTCCAAAACTGGACTCCCAGGCCAGATGGGCTCACCAGTGAACTTTGCTCAACACTTCAGGAAGAAGCCACACAATCTTGCACAGGCTCCTCGAGACCGAGAAGGGAACGCTCTTCCAGGGAGGCTGTCAAGTCAGCCTAGCCCTGTCACAGGAAGGCATCGCAGGACACAGCACCGGATGGCAGTTCCTCACTGCGCCCCACACAGGCTGGGTGCGCCAGAACTAGCACCCGACGCCGGGGGCCGCTCCCACCCCGTCTCTTCCGCCTGGGTGGCCTGTGCCCGCAGCGCCCCACTTACAGCCCGTGTCTCGCCAGTGGCTGGGGACCAGCCCGCCGGGGCCTCCATGCCGTGTAGCCTCTGAGTCTGCTTCAGCTGGTTGAGCGAGGGCTTCAGCTGGGTGGTCCCCACCGTCTTGCTCGTCCAGTCGTCCACCAGCTTGTGCAGGTCATCCGTGAAGGTGCCTCTCTTGTTGTTGCTGTTGTTCGCCTGTGCCTGGACGTGCAAGGTGGGCTGGGGGCCCGGCTCAGGGCCCGGGACCAGGCTGCTGGTGGAAGACCCTGGGGAAGCACACACATGCCAGGTTGGTGACACTGCACACAGCGCCACCGGCCAGCTGCAGTCTTTCATACGGTGGTCTTGCTTAGGCCAGGCAACACCTTGCTTCAGGAGATGGTCTGCATCTTGGGGCCCACGTGCCAGTTTTAGACACTTTGGAACATTTTCACAGGCCACAGGGGACCAGGCTATGCTAGGCAGCTGTCACCCTTCTGAGCTGGGCCAGAGGACAGGACCCAAGCAGCTGGCAGGCTTACTCAGCATCCACTCTGTGCCCACGCTGCCTAGGACCCCCAGACTCCTACGTGAGGAGGCTCAGAAAACTGGGGGCAAAATCCCAAGGCCTTTGCGCTCGAACACAAGGACTCCAAGGAAACGTGTCAATGCTACAGGCTGAGCGCTCAGGCCACGGCAGCTCCTGCGGTCCACCCAGCAGAGGGAAAAGGGAAAATGCTAAGTAGGCTGGGTCGTCAGCATGCCTGTGCAAGAATGTTAGTGGCTTAGCGGTTTCGAATTTAAGACACAAAACTGTGCCTCTCCTCACCAGCACATGTAGGGAAGGTGTTGCTAAAGGGTACAAACACTCAAAGCCTTCCACCGTGGGCCCCCAAGTTCGGAGCCATCTGTGGGGTGGAGCAGGAACCAGGAGGCCCAGCTGCCAGGAAGGCCTGGGGGCTGCGGTTCAGGTGGAGCTTGGTGAAGACATCACACTCACCCACTTCACTGGAAGATTACTTTTAGGTGACCAAAATGGGACTTTTTAATTCTTTTTAAGTTGTGCCCTGACCCCACCGCAACATACAGTTTCTGGTTGGCAGTTCTGCATAAGCCAATTTAAAATTTTTCCGCATCAAAAAAGCAGCATAATGACCATCTCTTCAAACAAGCCGTTACAAAATGTAGTCACAGTAGCTAGCAATGAAAAAGCACAGACACAAACAGTTAAACATTAGTGATGGAATCTTACATACACAGAGCTATTTCTACATGAATGTTTCAGCCAGAAAAGAAAAAAGGAGGAAAAAAAATATGGTGTAAGGTGAGGGTGGTGGGCGGCCCAGGTGGACTGATACCCATTTCATCCCGGCATCTCTCCTCGGGGACACTCATCTTTAGCACTTCAAGGACACACTCATTCCTACGGTTTTGGAAAAGGAGCCAATTAATGATTGGTAACGTGTGGACATTCCGGGCAAGGAGAGTGCATGTCAACCGGCCAGGACACGCAGACTCTAGGAGCTATGGAGACGCGAGGGGGCACCCACGGGTCGCTTTCCCTCCAGGCCGAGGGAGAGCGGTGCCCTGGGTGGGTGGGCGCGGAGCAGATGCAAGCACGCCCGCCCGCCGGCCATGGAGCCCCCGATGCGCACTAGCCACATGAAAGCCCATGCGATGGAGAGCGGACAAGGGGTAAAAAACCCGATAATTACGACTGCTGTGCTCTTTGCCCAGACAGAGACGCTTCAGGGCAGACCCTGCAAGGGAAGAAGAAACGACACAAGACCACAGGGTTAGGCAGGACAGCACACACGGGGGACAGGCCACCACACTAAGCACAAGTCATCAGTGTGCAAGGAGGAGCAGAGGCCAGCGATTCAGAGAGGGGACTGGCCACCTGGGCTAACCGGGTGACCGCGAGTCAGTGTGCGGGCTCACGTGAACTTCGCCGAGGGGCTCAGGTGCAGGACCAGGCCCCAAGCTTCAGGTAGAAGTGAGTGTGTCTTTCAAAGCGTATTCAAAAAAAAAAAAAGAAAACAAAAAACAAAAAAAGCAAAGCATACCACTTGGTTTTTAAACAAAAGGCTTCTGCAGCCCCACTGCAGATCGAGGCAGAAAACCCACTAAAAGTCAGCCAGGAGAGCTCAGTGGAGCCGCCGGCTTTGCCTGGAAGCTAGGCCCATGGGAGGTTTGTTTTCCAAGTGCAAAAAGATACATTGTTTTGCAGGTTTGAGGCCAATCCCAGATCCCAGGCGGCTTCCCTGACCAGACCAGTGGTGGACACAGAGGGCACCTATCTACAGAGGTGGGAATCAGGGCTGGACCCAAGTTTCTGCAACGCTGATGCCTCACCTGGTAGCCCACGTCCACCAGAACGGGGTGAGGCTTGTCATGAGACCGCCACTAAGCGCCAGGCCCTGCGGTCCCAGGGGCTGTCTGTGGTGTCTGGCACAACTTGATGGTCAGTGCCCACTTGGAGGGCAGACAAGCTGGCCCTTCAGGGAGCTGGACAGGCACAATGGGACAGCTCAGGAGTCCCCAAGGTCACTCAGCAAGGCTGCGCTATCACAGAGGGTCTGTGCTCCTGCCCCAGGCCCTTGCCAGAGCAGAACACTTCCTGAGGGTGCCCTGCACCCTTGCCGAGGAAGGTAAGACGCCACCGCCTCTGGGTGTGAGCAGAGCACAAAGGTCGGCCCAGGCTCCAGCTGAGTCGTTCCTTTTTTTGGTTTATCCCGTGTGTGCTCAGAGGCTGATGTGGTAGAAAGGGAGGTGATGTTCTGGTGGGGTCTGTACTGTGCAAATAAAAACAAAAGGGCTGGGCAGGAGTAGTCCAGGCCAGTCGTCCCTTGGTAGCAGCAGTGAAGGGCCTTTGCTGGTCTGTGTCCTGACGTGGAACCCTACTGGGAGCACAGGGCCCTCGGGGGGCTCCACAGCACAAGGGAATGAGGGTCCCAAGCTCTATGACTGTGCGGGGCCCCAGCTAAGGCACAGACTTCCCTGTCTGGATCCTGTGGTTGTAGCTCCCTCTGGGTCTCTGCAGCACCAGGACATGGAATCAATTGGCCAGCCAGGTCCCCACAGCCTGACAGAAGAGGATTCTTTCGGGGCTGATTCCCGCCATCCTCATGACAGGAACACTCAGGCAGCCACAGGAGCTGCCTGCCGGGAACCACCAGAGGAAGCCTGGGCCCGCCATCAGGGCCCCAGACTTTGCTGGGACCCCAGAGCCAAGGCCATTGGCCACCAGACACCATGCTTGGACTGGAGAGCAATACTGGCCCACAGAGGCCTCCACACCCTCACTAGACGCGGCCCACAGGGACCAGAGCACACTCCCTGCCCTCAAGGTGAACCTTTAAACAAAGACCGACCGGATTCGGCGCCCTTCACGTCAGAGTCATGGCAGCCAGTGCAGTGCAGCGGTGTGGCCAAGCACAGGCCATAGGTCTGATGACCGGCCCTCACTCACACCACAGCCCTGTCCCTCCTCGGGGGTCCCCTGAGTCTCCTCCCCAGTGCCTTGCCCTTGAAGCCCACCACACAGATGGCTGACGAATGTGCCTCCACCCAGCCCTCCTCTCTTCCCCTCCATCAGGCTACAAGGCAGCATTGCAAGGGTGCTGGGGATACATGGAACCCAAAGGAAACCCACAGGGGGCATGAGGGCAGGTCTCCCCTCCCTGCAGGACTACTGTCCTTAGCCAAGGTCTTGGGAAGAGCCAACTTCAAGGCCCCAGAACTACTTGGAGAAGCTTCCGGGTGGTCAGGGGTGGAGGTGGAGAGCCACGCGGCCTCTCCCAGCTGTTCTCCCAGGTTTTGAATGGGCAACACACAGGATGACACCATGTCCTGTCCTCATGCTGCACACACACCCCACCGGGCCAGGAGTCTCATGCAGTGCCCAGGCCTCGTTCAGGAAGCC